AAATTAGAAGACAATTAATTGAAATCTATCAAGGATACATGACTTTGAAAATAATTAAATAGACACAAACTTCAAATTATTGTGTTGTTATTTTAGATTTCAATTGTAAAGGTTTAATGGTGGAATTCATAGGGAAAGAAGGAAGAAAGAGAGAAAACAATGGTACGGTGGAGATGAGGGTTGATGAGAGAGAGAGAATTGATTAACATGGAAGCTTGAATTTGGATGGTTTAATTGTGCAAATAATTAATTTTAAGGGATATGAGTATGTGATAGTATATTCAATAATATATGGTATAAAATATTAAAAGTGATAATATATGTAATTGTTTGAAAATAGAGGTAAAGTTAGTATATATGGTACGAATGTATGTCTAATAAGGTAGCTAATCATATTTTAAACACATATTTTTTTTTATAAATAATATTTAGAATTTGAATGTATTCTTCTTAAAATATGTTTTATACCTTCAATTTATATATTTATATATAAAAGATAAACATAGATAATGTGATTTGACATATCTCTATGACTTCTATTTGCATTTATTATTTTTTTTACCTTTTTTCCTATTTAAATTAATTATTTTATTATAAACCTAGATTACTTAATTTATTACTAATCTACATTTTATTAATGGGGGAACATTTATACCAAAAACTTTTTATATGTCAATTTACAAGCTGTAATTATCCATAACTCACACAATAATTTTATTTATTTTTACATTTTTTTTATCTTCTTCTAATTATAAAATTTATATCTATGTCTATATATAAAACTCATAAATTATGTATAATATAAATATAAATGTAGATATCTAAACAAGGTAATGTGACACGATTCTCTCCTCATTTTCTGTTACATATTTTTCTTAATTCATTCCATTTATTAGATAAAATAATAAACCATAAATATTCCATATGTCCCTACATGGTAAAGGAACGATATTAATCATTTGCCATCCCACTTCACAGGTTAATCATTTCACATTCCGTACCTAACAGTTTTTTATATCTAATTAAACACTGTATTGATAATGGCAGTTTTTTTATTTGTGTAACTTCTAATTCCAAAAATATTTATTGTGCATTAATCTCTCGCAATTACAGTACTACTAATTAATTTCTATGCCTTCAAATATTCTCTTTATGTGGTATATATATACTTTAGCAGTTTTTATTTAAAATATTCATTTATGCAATGCATTTTCATTTCATGTATAGCTACAATGAGTTTTGTAGATCTTAAGCTAGCATGCAAATATGCTTGTTCTATTTATGGGATTGCTTTATCAAAATGATGTAATGCATATATATATATATATATATATATATATATATATATATATATAAAATATCTCTATAGAATATATGTTAAACTTCTCCTTCTAAATCGAACTGCCCCTCAAAAGTCATATGTAATTGAAATTGTCCTGAATTTTAAAAAAAAAACATCTTAACTTTGCAACCGTCCTATTATTCCACTAAACAATTATGAACTGATATTATTTTATCATTTTTTGATCAGTCTCAGATTTTAAGAAGCAAGTGTGTTCACATACAAATCATTACATGACACGTGTTAATTTAATTAAAATGTATTTTTTTTTTCATTTTAAGTTTTTTCTTTCTCTCTCTCTTTAGTTTTGACTTATTTTAATTTTGATTTCATCTTAAATACCATTTCATCTTCCACCCCGACTTTTAAGCTGATCCATTTCTCCATTTTCTTTCTTTTTCTTCACCTCCCACGTTAAGTTGAACCCCTCTCCCTTTTTTTTCTTTTCTTTTTCTTCTTCTTATCCAATCAATTTTTTTATTTCAGTGATTTTTTTATTTAAAAAAAAAATCATACTATTTTCTAGACTTTATTGAATTATTGATAACAAAACTAATTATTTTTCTAAGAAAATTTAAAATTTTGAAGGTATCATCAATTACTTATTTTCATATAACTTCAAAATTAGAAATCATAATTTCAAATGAATCAATGAGTTCCCCGAAAATTGAAAGAACTTGATTGAAAGCGGATAAAATAAACTTTATGATACCTCCTAATCATCTTGAAATCTAATGGATTTATCAAATTGTTTGAAATGTAAGAAAATATTTAGATAAAGTTTTAAAATTAAAGAGAATAAAACTAATAGTAGTAAAAAAAGAATGAAGTTGTGGTAAAAATGATGACATTGAAAATAAGAATCTTCAATATAATGGAGATGACAATGAATTTTTGAAGAAGAAAGAAGAAAGAAAGAGAAAATAATAAGGAACCAAAGTTAAAACAATAAGAAAATATATTTTATAATAAAATACTTGTAAAAAATAAAATTATACTAATTATTTTCGGTTGCTCACTCTCTTTGAGAGAGTGCACACACTCTCTATGTAAGGTGGAAAAAATTATGTAATTATATTAGTTCAAGATTGTTTAGTGGGGTAATAAAACGCCTGCATAATAAGGTGTCTTTTTAAAAATTTAAGACAAATTCAAGTGTCATTTTATGTTTTTTCTCTTATAAAATATAAAACTACAAAGGAGGCAAATAATATTTTGTCTATTTGAAATCAATCAATACATAATAGCAACAGTCACTAAAGCAAACGAAGAAGGGAGAACTTGAATTGCGGAAAACTTGCATTGCATTGCATTGTGTATGCAAATAATAGATACTAAAAAATCAACCAGCTGATTAAGAGTTGTGGGACGCTTCTCTGTGTAGACATAAAACAGTGTGAAATACGTAGTACAAATATGTCAATCTATATATATAAGGGCAAAGGGTCAAAAATACCCCTCAACTTTGTTTTATTAGTTGATTTTACCCTCGCCGTTAAAATGAAGTTAATTTTACTCCTCCCATTACTAATTTCACCAAATTTACCCCTCAATTGGATGAAAAACCCAAATCAACTAAAATTACCCAATTTCAATTAAATAACCCAATTTTTTCTCTTTGTAATCCGAACCCGACCCATTTATACCAAATAAAAACACCAAATCAAGCTCCGGCAATCCCCATTCATTTTCTCCATTTTCCGGCAAAACACCACCAAAACAACCTCCAAAGGACCACCACTCAAAACCCCCAAAAACCATAAACAACATCAAGCAGAAAACATTAACAACAAACCCATTTTCCTCTACTTTCCGGTGACGACAACAAGACCTTTCTTCCAGTTCCAAGCTGGAACAACATTAACCAAATCACCCACCGCCGGAATCATTCAAACAACCGCGAAACCGACCTGAAACAGCTCTCAAACACCACCCTCTCCACGCCAAAATCCAGTGGTAAAACCACACTTCAGCCCACCAGAACCCAAACCTCCATCACCCAAGCTAAAACAACCAGCAAATGACCACCAGACCACCAGTTCTCCGACCTCCAAACAACCAACCAACAAAACCCCGACCAAAACCCCATCGGAAAACAACTGAAACACCGCTAACAGATCAAACCAACAACACAATCAGTCGAGAATCAAGGCTCAAAAACAACAGCCACAACTTCATATCCGCCTAGGCTCAACAAGCAAGCAATAACATAGTTTTAGATCTGCCCGCAGAAAAGCAAAATTCGATAATTGAACGAGCTCCAAGCTCTGACCACACTAGTGTGCTAAATCTCTCTAATCTTCTTCATATACTTCCTCTATTGAATGTGGTCATGGAGGAAACCCACTGTCAATCTTGGATGGGATTTTCATTGCAGTCAAGGATGACAGTGATTGCTATTTTCATCCGGGTATTTGTTTAACTTCATATTTCCTCCGTAAATATCTCTGTCATTTTTAGCTGAACATTTTTCCCTGTTAAAAAGTGCAGGTGGTTCTAAATGGTTTCATGAGGTTTGCCAGGTGAAGGCAGATGGGGTTTCTGTGTCAAAATTATGAAATAGTGGTGCAATTTTAGTAGGAAGGACAAATATGCATGAGTTTAACTACAGAACATTTGCTGTCAATTTTAGTAGTATGTGTTTCAATGGAAGAAGGAGATGGAGAAGATTAGAGAGCTGGGTTTAGGGTTCTAGTTTGATATAAATGGGTCGGGTTCGGATTAAAAGAGAAAATCGGGTCATTTATTTGAAATTGGATAATTTTAGTTGATTTGGGTTTTCCATCCAATTGAGGGGTAAATTCGGTGAAATTAGTAACGGGAGCGGTAAAATTAACTTCATTTTAACGACGAGAGTAAAGTCAACTAATAAAACAAAGTTGAGGGGTATTTTTGACCCTTTTCCTTATATATAATAAAGCTAAATGAAGATAAGGTGATGTGACATTTCTCTATGGCCTAGATTTGTATTTATCTTTTTTTTCTAAATTTTTTTGACATTTTAATTCATTTTCTGCAAAAAAATATCAATAATAATTTATGATATTATATCAAAATTTAATGCATAAAAGGTATATAAAAAATAGTTATTACTATCCCACTTTTTCATATGCAATTGTGTTGTTACAAAAACTCGTCTTAATTTACCACCTTTAATATTCATCATGAAAGAAAAATGTAAATGATATCTACAGATCTGTTGAGGTCATGTATTAATATAAATATTATAAAAATAGAAGAGGCGTATGAATTCAAATAATTTGTTGGAATTCTTGGGTTGGCATCTTCTTCTCTACCTCTTTATTTTTTTTTCTCCTCTTTTTTTGCTTTTTGTGCAAAATTATGAAAAAAAATTTATTGACAACTCACATCCGTCATTTCGTTCACTTGATGCAAGTACATGAAAAATAGAAAACTATAAACTAATTAATTATGACCTTACCATATAGGGTTTTTACCCTCAGCACAAGTACAGATATATACCATGTATATATTTTACAATGTCTCATAAGATTATTTTGATCAACTCAACATCCTAGTTTATGTTGTTTACTCTATAATGCAACAGATACTTTCTACTTGAAACACTAGCAGCTAATACACACTGAGAACGATACCCCATAATTATACAGCAATAGGGGGTCGTAAAATTACTATAAAGTGAAACTGAGAAGAAGATGGAGAATATTTGGGAAAGATCATCAAAAGTACAGGACAGTAAATAAGAATGTTTTATGGCAAACATGTCCACCCCCACCCTAAAGAAAAGGGGGTCTGGGGTGTGTGTGGTTAGGCTTTACTTCAATACTTGTTTGCGATTCCTGACAGTGAGGAGTAAGTTCCAAGAGCAGCACTTACAATGCCAACTGCAATAACGGTGATGCTAAACACCCTCTACAAACATGTCAAACATAGGTGATGTTATTGAGACTATCAAATGTTCCACCAACAAAAATTAATAGTAATCAAGAAAATGGGAAACTGGAAATGATATGTTCTCGTATTTTAGTCATATTCTGTAACTAGTAAGCAAAACCGCGAAACAGTATATGGTTTGTTAAACAAGCTAAAAGTTGATGTCAACAAAGATACCTGTGTCCTTGTTGCTTTCTTTCCGATGATCTTTAGGTAACATAAAGCTGGCATTATTACAGACTGAAAAAAAGAAGAAATTAGGAGCTGACGTATACTCCTTAGAATAAAAAATGATAAAGAGATGAGCAGAAATTAAATAATCAGTGGAGATATCCACCCGAACATCTAAATATCAGGGAGGAACATAGTGTAGTACAGCAAAGGTAAATTAGGTTGCACTACATAGGTTAAATAAGCTTTGGACAATTGAAACTGAAAGCAAGCTTTGAAAGTTTGCATATATATGAAAAAGAGTATCATCAGTGATATGAAGAACATAAGTTCAGGATCCAATAAAACTGGGAAAGAGCTTACCACCAGTATACTGAGAAGAGAACCAATCAGAGCCATCACAAGACCTGGAACAAAGATGATTTATCACTGTATAATTAGAAGTTGTCGCATAAAATTATTTAATCAACCAAAATCCCCTAAGGCGAAGCTTTTTGGTTGATGTACGAATTTGGTGCTTTAGGAATGCAATTCACAGAGGAAGAGCTTCCATCACAGCTTAAACTCTCCATATTACTTTGTTATTCCAAATGCAATCCATATCTTAATGGATTTAAAATGGTGCAAGCACAACCAAAAATATCCAAGCAAATTATTCCGGTTGTTATGGGCAATATATGTGCTTAATATATATATCAAAACCATTTTTTTCTGGGGCCTATTAAAAGCATATCTTTCTGAACCTCCATATTTACGTCATCCTAATCCTATCTATAATAGCTTCTTATTTAACCAGCAATGCTGAATCTTCGTGTCAGCTTGTTTTCAACATAATTGTAAAGAACCCAGATCAGAACGCTTCATACAGCTAATCTTAGTCATACAAGCTCTAATATGATTTATATAAATATCTATGAACTCTATTGAATATTATCCCAGAATTGTCACACAAACCAAAGCAAGTGACAGCAGTAATATTTGCAACTAGAAGAGCAATTGGCCCTAGGGAGATTTGGTTAATTCGTTCAATTTTGATATTAGAAACACAATACATCACTAAAAAGTTGACTTGGATTTAGTCTATTGACTGTGATTTCCATATTTTCCCCCCTCTCTTTTTTGGAGGTAAAATGAGATTAGACGGGATAGTACCAGCCTTAAATTCTCAGTCTTCTAGGAGCACTGATAATAGATGAAAATGCAGCATATAATTAAATTAGGATAGATGAAATGGAGCACTGCTACGAGATGTGTATACATGATACTTAACAAAGTGAAAATCAGAATAAAGCAATTGTGAGCCCGACAAAGTTTCATATGGTGAATACTGACCTCCCAAGGTCTTAACATATCCAAACAATGTATGCTGTAGAAATGCATAAGTTGAGATCAATACAAGGGATAAAGGATTCATGTTGGCCAATTTAAACTTAACTAACAACAAAGCCACACAAAAATCATATCGACGAGATCACCTAGTTGGATTTAAGGTTAAATTGTTGTTCCACTAACATTAGATCACATGTCTGCCCAAAACTTTTCTAGTTCAGTTAAAGACTTGTATATTTGTGTAGGAATAAGTATGCTATTTGAGGATCTCTTGTTTCTTTTTTTACGAAGAAGAGGGGCTCTTGTTTTAGAAAACTAATTTGCTTTCAAAGACAAACTTATGGTAATGGATTAGAACGTGCCAGAATAAACCGGACTTGATGCAGATTATTCAGGATTTCCAGATTATATGTATAAAGAACAAGTATCATAAGCTGATAGGAGAGTCTTAGGTTTTTTCCTTTTAATTACGCAGAAGGAAGTGATGTGCATTTATAAAACCCCAAGTAATGTAGATAATCTTTTTAAACTCTGATAAAAGATGGCAATTTTATCTCAAAACTAGAGGCTTTGTCCTTGCTAATAGCTACTTGAGAATAGCCTTAGGTGAACTAACTGGCGTTTAAAATATCAAGTTAAAGATCATAACTGAAAGAGAATGTTACGTACCAAAAAAGGGGAGAAGAAATGCAACACATACTGTAGAAAAGACAAGCACTGTCCTTAAGAGAATAAAACACCAGAGACTACTAGAAATTCTCTCGGGCAGCAATTCCTCTATGCATCTTCCCAAGGGATTCATCAGCAACGCATATCTGTGCAAGTGTGAGCTTTAAGGAAAACCATAGGATATGAATAATTATCTATTTTGTTGACTCAAGCAATCTAAAGTGTAAACTAATATTCCAGGAAAAAGGAAATGTCAACAATTGACAGTGAAAGAGGATACTTTGTGAACGGGCTGATAACCTGCATGGTAGAGAAAAATATACATAAAAATGAATGATAGAAAAATAAGATTCAGGGTATTTATTTATTTTGGGGGGAAGGTGGGGAATAGAGAGCACATACAGTGGTCCATACTGCAACTCTTGAAGCAATTGAATTATCCGGCATATTTAAAGTTATCTGGGATAATGTGCTTTGACCAAACATGAGATACCCCATCATTGCAACACCTCCATATATGAGAATACACAGAATAAAGCTGCATAATAAGAAAGTGCAAGTCCTCAAAAGACCATAGATGAGAATGCGTAAGGCAGTTCAACAAGTAGAAAACCATACCATATTATAAGTGCAACATTGAATTTTGACTTGTCAGCCATAGATTGGTAGATGTTTGGAAACACTGAGTGCCCAGAGTAACAAAAACCATACACTCCGATAGAAAAAGGAATACCACTCCAGTTCACAACCTGACCGGTATTGTGAAATCCAACTCCATCCACCGTACCAAGGAAAATCACACACAGAACAATTATCATGGTTGCGAAGACCCCACAGGCTGCAAAAATGTCAATAAGATTCTCAGATGATGGTTGAACACCATCTATGCCAAGAGTACTGGTGTTTGAAGCAAAGTGAGTGCTTTATGTTGTTCAAAGGAGCACCTGAGAGGTATGATATTACATGAAGGTCCCTCAACCAAACAGTTGGCAGAATAATCAGGGCAGCCAGAATCCCAAAGAAGTGAATTGAATCAAGTTTAAGGCCTCCCAAGTTCAGTGAAGATCCAGGAAAAAGGCTAGTAAGGTTATCTCCTTCCAAAATTATAAATTCTACACAATATGACTGCATCAGTTGAACAAATATTAGAGGTCTGATTTTAAGGAGTCTAGGCGAACAATAAAACTAGAGTCTAAGTTCAATCTTCACTTACATATAGCTCCAAGTACAAGATAATCTGCAAAGAAATAGCAGAACAGCATCAGAATATTGTCAGGAAAGACGAATGATCCACAATGAGCAACCAAATTTCTCTTTATTCATGTAAGCAAAAATCACTTTCTTATAGTTTCAGCAAAGTAACTTTATATTTAGGCCAAAAAGAGGGCCAGTATTACTCCATGTAGGCACCATGAATAGCAACTCCCCCAGAAAATCACAAAATGCCAGCCAATCTGAACAAATATACACTAGTAGTTCAGAAAGCTACATTTACTGGTTAAAATTAACATTTTGTTCCCACTCCATGAAATGAATTGATCTAACATGTAATAACATTTTCAACTAACGGAAGCAAATGAAGTTCACATAGTTGGAATGGTAGGGATAATAAGGACATTGCTGTTATTGACAGGCTTTTTTGGTATCAAACAACTAGCTTGATACGCCAGAGATTTTTCTTTGATCGCTTATCTATCCAAGTAGATGAAAGGCAAACAGAATGTGGTTGATGATATTGATTTTCTTAATATGTGGATTAGTGGAATGAAGCAAAGAGGCAAAACAATTGATTTCCCAACCAGAAAAGGCGCCTATAGTAGCTTCTTTTTTTTTTCACCCTCCCTAGGAGCTCCCACCCCTTTTTGCTCCCTTGGTGACTCGAACTCGCAACCTTCGGGTTGGAAGTGAGGGGTGCTTACCATCCGAGCAACTCCCTCTCGTCGCCTATAGTAGCTTAGAAGGAGGATTGGTTGGAAAATAGGTGTGAGAAATCATGGATCATAACACATCATAAACACACAAAATAGTTAATTGCCATTCAACTGATTTGCAGTTAATTATTAAACAAAGAGTTTTCAATTAACCTAAATAAGAAATAAAGAAAATCCAGTCCCAGTAGCAAAAGATAATAGGGGTACGACATTACTAGGATAAAAGGGAGGGTCTAGTACAGTTAGTTCTTTAAATTACTGATCCACAAGATTCTCACAGCTCAAACTTGGAACTGATTACACATAGGATCACTCAACTGTAGATTAAACTAACTTACAGATATAATAATGCGTCCAAATTTTCCAAATGCAGCTTCTCCAATATCGGGATAGGTTAAGATTCCTTCCCTACTCTCAAAGCAATGTTTCATAAGAGAAGCTGTGTACCAACATATGACTGCAAAAATCACCAACACTAACAAACTAGCCCAGCCAGCTTCTTTCACTGTATAAGGAGTAGAAAGCAGTCCAACTCCAGCCATGACATTTACACCTAAGTCAGATAAAAAGAGAAGCAGGATATGAAATAAATTTGCACAAAGAGATCTTAAATACTACTATCAAGTAATAAGTTCAACCGATTCTTTTCCTCTCCAAACAAAAAATCAAACTAAACAGATCTAGCAGCATCTTCATGCAGAAAGATTGCAGTTGTTTTATTTAAATGATAAAGTTGTTGACTTGGAAATACACGATCCACAATTGTCATTTCCATAACAGTGTTTTTTGGTCTACATTGGGGCAGCGATCCAAGGGAAACAACAAACATGAAGGACAAGTTAATCTTTGCATATCACTTATTAGCAGCTTCAGAACTTCTGATTTCCAAATACTAAGATTTGACTTCTAAGTATATTTATTCTCAGGTATAGCCCATAGTATAGCTATCTATTCACTGGAAGTTGATTCATCCTGCACATTTTATATAGTCAAAGTCTCAAAGATTCTGAACTACTGATATAACATAAGAAAGGATTCTGAACAGCATTGAGGTTTTCCTTACCATTGAACACAGTCTGCGTTAAGCTGCAGCCATAGGGAATTGGAAGCTCCCCAGTCAATTGCTCATGCAAAGAAGAAGCCTTCTCTGACAAAGATGCTTTTGTTACTGAGATTCCATCTGCAACATTTTGCTCCTGAACTTTTTCCTTTTCAGAGAGCAAATGTGTCCTCAAATCTGAGTCCAAGAATCCTTTACTATCGAATTCAGATATAATACTGGATCCACGTCGTATGAGTCCGAAATTAGGTGATGCGGCAATCGTATATGAGTTAATTGTCTCTCTGTCATCATAAATATGAGTAGCATAAGAAACGTTTTCTCTTCCATCCTTCTAATATGAGAAGATTTTTTATATAAAGATAAATAATTTTTCATAGTGGAGTTCTAAACTCAATCATTTAACACCAAAGCTACGGATGAAAAGTGACTGTCTTTTTCTTCAGGATAGTCTATCAGCTCCTAACTTCAAAGACACAGTCAATAAGCCCTCACCTCCCATGGGCTATCAGAAATCAGTGGCCAAAAATGTGGGGTAATTCTGTGATCAAAGTGGGTAATGGCAGAAAGACCATGTTCTGGAATGATATATGGGTGGGGCAAACACCTCTGAGGCAACAGTTTCCAGACATTTACAATCTCAATCAACAGAAGCTAGCTACTATTTCAGAGATCACAAATGCACAAGGTTGGAATCTATCCTTCAGAAGACTCCTCAATGACTGGGAAGTGGAGAGAATGATCCAGTTCTACAATACCTTGGAACAAGCTAAGAGTCTCAATTTTGAGGAAGACAAACTATTATGGAGTTTGGACAAAGGTGGCAAGTTCAGAGTGAAAGCAGCCTACAAGATGCTGAATATCTCAACAGAAACCAAGGAATGGTGGCCATGGAAGATGATCTGGAAAGGGAAGATACCTCATAAAGTGGCCTGTTTTACTTGGCTAGTTGCAAGTCAAGCAGTTCTGACCCAGGACAACCTTATGAAAAGGGGCAGGCAGTTATGCTCTAGATGTTTTTTTTGTGAAGCTGTAACAGAGACAGTAAATCATCTTTTTCTGCAGTGTAAAGTGACTGGAAAATTATGGCAATGGTTCATCAATCTGAGGGGTATTGGATGGGCCATGCCAAGGCATACTTCAGAAGTACTAGCATGTTGGAATAGAGATGGAAATCAGTCAGAACACAAGGAGAGATGGAAGATTGTCCCTTCTTGCATCTGGTGGACAATCTGGAAGGAGAGAAACCAGAGATGTTTTGAGAACAAGAACATTCCCTTCCAAAGTATAAAGATGAACTGTTTAGCAACTTTTTACTTTTGGTGTATACATTCTGTACCTAAGGATATAGGGGAAATTAACCTATTTCTAGACAGTTTAAAGGAATATAGGAGATAGATTTTGTTTTGGGCTGTCCTTTCATACTTTTGATGTAACTATGTAGGAGCACACTATTGGTGTACTCCTTTTGTTTATAATACCAGTTAACTTTCTCAAAAAAAAAAGCCCTCACCTCCCATAGAATCCAAAAACACCCACTTTTCCCTCTTCTTTGGTGTAATGGTAAAGTCCACCCAATGGCCCCTCCAACCTGGGAGGCCTTGTAGTGGCTTCTCCCACTTTGTTCTCTTCATGACTAATTGACTCGACTTTGAACTTCAGAATGACCCTCTCTAATAGGCTATCCCTCCCATTTCCCAACTACAGCTTTAATTGCACACTCGCAAACTTGGCCTACCTAACCAAACCCTTTTCAAACATTGATTTGTAGAGATACATTTAAAGTGACATCGGTACAATAACATCTAAGCTTTAATCTATAATTCTAATCATCTTTGTCCCATCCTACGTCATTCAAATGCAATGCCATCATACCAATACAAGGTACCTCCTCAAATCATAATAATCTTTTTATATCGAAAAAATGAGGGGGTGCTCACATTGAAGATGAGTATGAGGACAAGGCCTAATCCTTAGTCCTCCATTTTTTCCTGATTTCTCTCTTATTTAAATCAACCACTCCACTCATGCAAAGTAACTCGCTTAACCTTAAGCTGATATCAGATATGCTATTTTAAAGTATTTTTCATAGAACTAATTTCAAACAAGATCAATTTCATTTGAGGAGTAAAGCCCACAGCCGAAGGCAGAATATCAGCCATAGAGCAATTGAAAAAGAAAAAAAGAATGAAGTTCCTATGTTACTTCCTACTGGTATAAGATTGGATTTACATCAGATCCTTTTCACAGTTGTTATCGCCTAATCAATTTCAGATAAAACAAATCCATAGATTCAAGACAAACAGAAACAATAAATTGATTTCTTCCCTAATCATTGATGGACAAGTTGAAAGTAAATTTAAACCTGAAACTTTGGGGCCATTGCTGAGAAGCAAATGGAGCATCATCATCATCATCGTCGTCATCGTCACTCATATTGACGCTATTAGCTTCGACATCATCTGAGTCATTCTCCGTTAAGTAATCTAAAAATTCTTCATCCTTCTTTGACATGGCTATTTCCAATCAAATAAAAAGCTACTCACAACTATATACTACAGTGCATGTGGAGAAGGAGCTGTAGAAAAGACATTGATTGAGGCCTTTTGAATACGTTTCGAGATTTCCAGAATCATTGGAGTGGCCACGTTTGTCTGCATATGGTATGATGAGTCATTGGTGGTGTAATGGACGAATGAGAATCAACGGAGAAAATTATTCTTATGACTCAACCACATAAACAAATAACAAACAGACACACAAGGAGCAGCAACAGATCTACTCCTTTTTTTCTCTAATTTTATTAATGGGATGAAACAACTCCTCTCTATTTACGTGTCAAGTGTGTTTTTTTACTCAAATTTGTCTTTTTATTATTAATAAAAATTTATAACAGTACAAATCTTATGAAATAATTAAGACCACAAGTTCCATATTTTTAAATAGTAATAAGAACAATAATATATTTAGTGAAATTTCGCGCATAGAGTTTGGAGAAGTATTTTGAAAAGGTAGAGAGGTTGTTTAAGAAAGTCTCTTGCCTCAGGTAAAGCATAATAAAAATCAAGCATGTAAAATACTTAAAGTAGCAAAAAAAACATTTTAAATAATTAAAAAGAGAACAAGCAACAACAATAAATAACAAAAAAAATATAAGGTAATATTGAAATTAAAAAAATAAGACAGTGGTATAGTTATAATAAGACTACTAATAAGGAAGTTAGACATCATTTGACTATCAATTAACTTTCTACTATAATTTTCAATCTTAATAACTTCTTATCTAGAATCGTGACTATATGAGACCTTTTCAACCTATCAAATTTCATATTCTTATATAGGCACATAATATTATAATACATTTATAATAACAACTTGTAAAGTTTTTCATTTCTTAAAAACATCATATCTATTCGAACTTTGATATTACATAAATTATAGAGAAGGAATTATATGAAAAGTCAGACATAATGCCTTGGTGGAGTAGTACTAGTAGAGACTTCACGAAGCTGCTATTTCTTTTTTGATTTCTAGAGGAATTCCAATCATATAAAACAAGAGTAGTTGAATAATAAATACTTCATTTCTATAAAACTAATAAATAAATGTATTGTCATATATATTAGCATGTGTTATGAAAATATAGGCTCATAATTTAATATGAAGAGAAGAGGACAAGATATGGAGATGAAGAAGAGGATTTTTCTTCTATTCAAGTGTGTCTTCTAAATGGTGATGAATGATATCTCTATTTATAGTGTTGAGATATCATTCTCAAAGGTCACCAAACTAGTAGATACATAGTTATCCAAAAAGGTTCTATCATCTTGGAAGTATACATACATGAATTCAATTAATATTTGAATAAATCAAATGGACAATCCACAATTCAATGGATTTATAACACTCTCATTTGGATGTCCATAGATAATGTGCCTCGTTAAAACCTTACTAGAAAAAACCCAGTGGGAAAAAACTCAGTGAAGGAAAAAGAGTACACACATCTCATAATACGTTTTAAATGTTGTCTCATTAAAATCCTTACCAGGAAACCCCAACATGGGACAAAACCAATGTTATAAATCCATTGAATTGTGGAAGAAGGTGAGTTCTCCCATCATGCTCATTTGAAACTCACTTTCCATCAAAGCAGCAAAGTCCTTACATAATGATTCTGATGTAGCTCCAAAAATTATGTCATCGACATATACCTGCACAATGAGAAGCTTCTTCACTCTTGATTTCAGAAACAAGTTGTTATCAATTTTACCTCTATTGAACCCATTTTCAATAAGAAACTTCGATAACATCTCATACCACACTCTTGGAGCCTGTTTCAGACCATTTATAGCTTTGTCCAATTTTGGCACATGATTTGGTAGATCAACATCTTCAAACCCAGGAGGCAGACATATACTTCTTCCTTCAATAACCCATTCAGAAAGGCACTCTTGACATCCATTTGAAACAATTTGAACTTCATATATGAGGCAAATGAAATTAGAATCCTAATAGCTTCCATTCTGGCAACTGGAGCAAAAATTTCATCGTAGTCAATTTCTTCCTCCTGATTACACCCCTACACTACTAATCTGGACTTGTTTCTTGGGATGATTCCATGTTCATCAAGTTTATATACCCATCTGGTCCGTATTATGGTTCTATTTTCTAGTCTAGGAACCAGATGTCAGACTTGGCTTCTTTCAAACTCATGAAGTTCCTCCTGCATTGAATTGATCCAATCCACATCCTTTAGAGCTTCCTTCACATTTCTGGGTTCAACAGTGGATATGAATGTTGACAATGCCATGAGATTTCTTATCTGTGATCTGGTATGCATTCCAGAAGTGAAACAAGATTGTCCATGGGATGAGATAACTGATGTTTCCATCCTGACCTTTTTGCAACTCTGGTTCAGCAGCTGGTTCTCCATTTTTCAGAGTTTTCTTCTTCAACTTCATCGTTGTCTATTGTTGTAGCACCCTAAATTTTTTTAAGTTAAGACTTGAATCATTCTTCATTTGTGAATAAGATCGTACCAGATGATTTTTAAATTGACCATATGTGTAATTGTAAATTCTTTAGTATAGGAATGATTTTGGATATCAATTAAGGTCACTAGAAACTCCTATCACAAAGTAAAGTTGAACGTTTCCTTAAGTTTTGATGTAATATTCTCTTTAGGTCAACTTCAAATGACGATATCTCTTAGATTATAAAGAGTTATGTGGCCCATAACCTATCAAATTGAAGGTATTTGAATCTTCTTTTCAATGCCACAAATTTCGCAATAATTTAAGTTTTGGGTAATAAGTTATGACTATTTAAGTAACATGATACAATGCAGTATGGCTGGCAACGGGACCAGAATCGGGACTACCGGATCGGGACGGACCGAAACTGGAACGGAACCGGGCACCCCGAGCCGGAACCAAACCGGAACCGATAATTCCGGAAAAAAATCAGTGTACCCGTCCTGGACCGGACCAGACCGGACCGGATCGAAAACCGGGTCCCAACTGTTATAATTAAAAAAAAAAATTATTAAAATTAAAAAATTAGGAACATTACACAAAAAAATTCATACTTTTAAAGTTTTAAATACAAACTTTCAAACTTTAAAAGTATAAAAGTTTAAATTTCACAATTTAAAACTTTGAAAATTTAAATTCAAACTTTAAAACTATAAAACTATAAAAGTTTGAAAATTTAAATTCAAACTTTAAAACTATAAAAGTTTAAATTTCACCCTTTAAAAGTTTGAAAATTTAAATTCAAAGTTCAAACTTTAAAACTATAAAAAGTTTAAATTTCACACTTTAAAAGTTTGAAAATTTAAATTTAAATTTCAAACTTTTAAACTATAAAACTATAAAAGTTTAAATTTCACACTTTAAATTTTAAAAGTTTGAAAATTTAAATTCAAACTTTAAAACTATAAAACTATAAAAGTTTAAATTTCACACTTTAAATTTTAAAAGTTTGAAAATTTAAATTCAAACTTTAAAACTATCAAAGTTTAAATTTCACACTTTAAAAGTTTGAAAATTTAAAACTTTAAAACTATAAAAGTTTAAATTTCACACTTTAAAAGTTTGAAAATTTAAATTTAAGACAATAATAAAAAAAAATTAAGGCGAATAGCCTATACTTTTATTAATATTAATTAAATAGTACAAGTTGAGTTACAAATTATTAGTAGAGTATTAAAAAATCTAATCTACATAGTCACCTTCTAGGAAGGGTTCTGTTTGAATTAGACCTCGAATTATTATACTCATACTAATAGACATTTAAATTTAATAGTTCATGCTACCAAGGAAATCTTTTTTTAAATCATTTAACATTTCTCTAGTAACATGCTCTGAAGTTGGTTGATTAGATAGTTCCTCCATTGCATCAATGCTGTCGTCACTAAAATCTTGCATTATTTCATCAACGTCATTTTCAAATTTGGTCGGTAAAGGTGGACGACCATAACTCCTTCTCTCGCCATTAATCCAATCTCTAAATAGTATCGATATCTCCAAGTTATCTGCTGCTAATGAATATATATGCTCTCCAATTTGAAATCTTGCTGCACTAAAAGCGCCTTCCGAAGCTAGTGAAGATGCTTGAATAGCTAACACATCTCGAGCAACCGGTTGAAGTTTTGAAAATCCTTGGCCGCGATTGCTCCACCATTCTAGAAGATCAATAGTAGTAGGTTCTGTATTTTGATTAATATATGCATCAAAATCATTTCTATCATTATGAGAAAGTTCAATAATACAATCTATCATATCATCAGTATCATCTTCATTATTATATCTACTCCTAGAACTTTGAGGCTCTTCGTTATGTACTACATTCCTTATATTAGAATTATATAGTCGTACAATTTTCTAGCTTCAATTTTTATACTATCTTTAACATCTTGACAACTAGGTGTTTCATCATCTTCACTATCAATACCCAAATTAAAATATATTTTATCAACCATTCGTGATGCACCTTCATCTTTGTAATGTGATTTTAACAAACAAGCAGTTAAATAAATTTGAGGAATAGGAATAAAATATTTTTAAAATTTTTCAATCATTTTGTTAACAGATTCTTCAAATCTTGGTTTAATTTTGATTTTATAAAATTTACTAGAAATAACACAAATATTAGGTAAAACAGAGCAAATAGTTGGATAATAAAGTGCAGATATTTTTTTTGTAGTTAAATAAAAAACTTTTAAGAATTCTACAAGTTCTTTTATGTCATTCCAATCATTATCATCAAGTCTATATGTCATATTTGAATTATGAGCATTCCAAACCATTTGTAAAGGTTTCCTATATTCATAAGCAACTTCAAGCATTTCAAATAAAGAATTTCATCTAGTACACACTGATTTTGGAATTTTTCTAGGTGGAAGATTAAATTCATGACAACGATTTTCAAAATCTCTACGTCTAGACTTAACTTGACATTTAAAAATAAAATGACATGCAATTTCAACTTTTGTGCAACCATCATCATATATTGCTATACCATCTCTAACAATCAAATTATATATGTGTGCAGCACACCTAATATGAAAACCATTAATATAAATAGGGCAAAGAGACGGTTTTAGTATTTCAACAACAGTTCTATTATTAGAAGCATTGTCTAATGTGACACTACTTATTTTATCACAAATT